CTCATCCCGCCCCCTTGACCTGTCCGTCCTCCCTGGACTGACCTATCTCCTCCCTACCTCCCCACCTACACTCACCTTTACTGGCTCCATCCCCGCCTCTTTGACCTGTCTGTCTCCTCTCCACCTATCTTCTCCTCTATCCATCTTCTATCCACCTCCCCCTTTCTCCCTATTTATTTCAGAACTCCCTTCCCCTCCCCCATTTCTGAAGAAGGGTCTAGGCCCGAAACGTCAGCTTTCCTGCTCCTCTGATGCTGCTCGACCAGCTGTGTTCATCCAACTCTACACCTTGTTATCCTAATTTACAATTTCCGTTCTAAGTGTTGACATCGAGATGGTGGTGGTTCATATTGAGTATCTAGGACAGGCTGTCTTTTCCTTTTGGCATTTTATATTCGGAAGGAGGGAACAATAAATGTGTCCTTGCCAGCTGTAGGAGAACAAAAAATCGAAACATGCTATTGTTTTTATTGAAGCACAATTTCTCTCTTAATTCACTCAGCTGTATGTTCAGGCCTGGCGCCCAGAGAACCTGTCTCTGCTCATCACAAAGGATTCATACCCAGACCATCCCCTGACGCTGCAGGGTGTAAATCGAGGAGCATCTTATCAACAGTACCAGCCTGTCATCATGCTGGAACAAGCCTACACATTACGGTGGAATGGCCGAACGCCTGAACAGATTGTCCTCTATCCGATCAACTTCAACCGGTAATTTACTGGGAACCCCTCCCAGTTTTAATGTGTTCATTTCCCAGTCTGAAGTTTCAGGTGCAGATTGGGTGAACTTCGGAAATGTCTTCTAGCGGGTAGGAGCTCTACTCAACTGAGGACTGCCGAAGTCATCTGGCTCCTGATTTGGTTTCATGTGCATCAAAAGTTTTTTGTTTAAACCACTTTAAAGCTCTCAACCTTCCAAGGGAGGATGATGCTACAGTGGATGAGTTAATAATTTTTGCAAACTACTTCAGAGGAAAATTAAAACTAATTGTAAGAACCTGGTGAGAGAGCAGTGCATTATTGAACTGAAGTGACAAGGTCAGTGTGGTTCCAAGCTGCTTCGGCTGATCTAGGACAGGCTGATGGTAATGATGCTGCAGTTGGCCTCAGTACCTAGAGCCAGAGATGGTCTATTTCGACAGGGTTTGGAATTTTGGTTTCTGTAGAGGCTCTGAAGAGGTGGACTTGTTAGGGTAGGTTTTAATCCACACCATTAAGGTGGAGTAGAGAAGGAAGTCGGGTGAAGGAGCAAAAACAAAGTTGCTGGAAAAGCTCAGCAGGTCTGGCAGGATCTGTGAAGCAGAAAACAGAGTTAACGTTTCTGGTCTGGTGACCCTTCCTCAGAACAGACCCCTCCTCGGGTGAAGGAGCCTTGGCCAGCAGGATTGTGCCCTGACTTGTGTTCCTTCCATTTCAACAAAACTGAGGCTCTCTAACAGGCGCAATGTGTTCTTCACTTCACATTCCTCCTCTATTCCCCACCCAGGCAAAGTGTGTGACTCAGCATTTACAAATGAGAATTTACTCTGCCCACTCACAATGTGATGTCATGTTTATTGGGTTTGATCGTGACATCCCCTTCCCCTCAGTTGAATAATCTATCAACAGTTTGTATCTGGGTGCTGTTCAGAATAGCTCCTGAGTCTAAACTGAACAAGCAGTTGTGGTTCTCTTATATCCCCATTTCCATCATGGCTAAAGCCTCATGATCCTGCCCAAAGCAACAACCTGCATTTGTATACCACCTTTACTCTCATGAAGGGCTCTTCATAGGAGCATTATCAAACAGAAGTCGGTAACCTGCCTGTTGTGAGAGATGTTAACTTTGCAGTACTATTTACAGATCACCAACAGTTCCATATATACTCGGGTAAAGGTCAGTCTTCTCTCTTTCTCCCCACCCCTCTCTTTCTCCCCACCCCTCTCTCTCTCAAACCCCACCCCTCTGTCTATTTATAATATATATAAAGTCAACTCCAGATGTTTTGCCAAAAGATCCAAACCCTCTGGTCCTACCACCCACTCAGCACTGAAGTCAAACTTGGCCTCCTACAGTCTGACTCATTTGAGTGTGTGCTGTTCTATGATTTTAGCAAAGTTGGCTCCCCCCTGTTTGCTTGGTGTCAAGTGTACTGTGCATCTACCAATCCTCTGTCCAATATGGCAACATGGTTCAAGAAGAAACAAGGCTGGGTATCTGCTGTTCAAACATAAAGGTGTTGTGATTGCACAGCAGACAAATATTTATGCAGTACCTAAGAGAAAACCAGCTTTCAGAGAAATATCAAAAGCAAATATTGCTGGAGAAACTCAGCAGTTTGTGTCCCTAACTAAGAGAATATTCTTGCTATGGAGGGAGTGCAGCCAAGGTTCACTAGTCAGGGACTTTTACAAGTCTTTTCCAGCAGCCAGATTATCAGAAATGGAAGAAAATCTCACAGCAACTTGCATTTAAATTGCACCTTTAATGGTATAATATTTTAAAGTGATGTGCAAAAGAAGCAAGGGTAATATGAAAAAAATCATCTTCACACAGCAAGGGTTAGAGTATAGAAAACACTGCCTGGAAATGTGGCGGAGGCAGATACAACAGAGGCGTTCAAGGTGGGGAGACAGTAAGGACTGAAGACGCTGGAAGCCAGAGTCAATAAATGTGAAGCTGGAAAAGCACAGCAGGTCAGACAGTATCCAAGGAGCAGAAAGTCAATGTTTCAGGCCGAAACCTTTTGTCAGGACTGTCATTGGATGATTATTGCATACAAGGGGGAGAAAGCAGGCGACGTGCACTAGATAATGATGTTCATTTAATGAGCCAGAACAGACCCAATGGGTCGAATGTCCTCCTTCTATGCCGGAACAATTCCGTAATTAACATGGGTTTAGATAATGGGAAGGGGGATGGTGTTGTAGCAAGTCAGGTAGTTGGAAGCCTCGCTTCCTCCCACCCAGACCATTTATCTGGTATGAGCCCCACTGAGACTGAAAACTGAGCCTCAAAATCTAAAGCCCATGGAGGCCTTTAGCTTCCTCAAACACATGGCAATGTTTTCAGGTATGGAATTTAGCCAGACTCTGTTTAAATTTCTACATGTTACGTGGGACTTTAGATATGTTGAGAGAGTAGAGAATGTTAGGGTGCAGAAAAGGTTAATGATGTGTGATGTGTGAAGTATGAAGTATGAGGTTTGCACTGGCAGGCAAATCAGTAGAGACACAGTTTTAAGATCACTGGCACTTGAGAACAGTTTTGTTTACACAAAATGTTGTTCTGATCTGGAATGGATTGCCTGAAAGGGCTGGTGGAATCAGATTTAGGATTAACATTTAAAAGGATTTGAGTAAATATTTGAAAAGGATAAATTTATAGAGGAACAATAGACTGAAATGCTCCATGCTTTATAATTGTGTTAACTTCTAAGCTTCACAATTCATCTGCTTGAACAATCCTCAGTGTACAAAGGTTTGCTACTTGTCAGAATTGTGGATATAGCAGTTTATGGGATTTCGCTGATTAATTTGTACAGATTTCAGCTGGACTGACCATTCTCCCAATTCCTACTGCCTTGAGATTTGTGATGGGACTAAAATCAGTCACAGGCATCGACCGTGCAGAGCTCACAACGTGTTGTCTACAACTTAGCATGACCATGGTCAGCGTCAGTAACTTGGTCATTACATCTAGTCTCCTTGTCACTGCTCAGCTACACACCACAGTAAAATTGTGCATCTTGTCTACCCAGCTTGCTACATCTGAGAGTATGACAGTGTGTAATCACTGACTTCAGTATTAGTCCAGGCTGAATGTGTTAAAATGGCATGTGTGCTGAGGCATGGAGCGCTTAGGAGCTATATCGAGCGCTGTGTCAGATGCAGGCTGGGACAAGTTGAAAAATAAGTCCTTCAAGTTTACCTAAGTTGACAATAGTTGATCTGGATATTAAACTGTTCCCACCCTAGTTCTGAGTCACTGCTAAGAAAATAATTTGAAGAAAATGTTGTGAAGTGTGTTGCGACACACAAAGAGCAGTGGACATGTTCAGTTCTCATTTAGAAAGCTGGAAGTAGCTGAAGAAATAATTTTCTGTATTTTGGCTATAATTTAGCTATGCCCTCACTCCTTCCTATTTCCAGTTAGTGGTACATTCACATTCCAGATTTAGTGGCCAGAGTGAAATGACTGGGGCTTCGAAACCAAGGCACAGCTTTGAGGAATAAAGAAAATTTATTGTGCTTTATGATTTTCACAAACGCAGGACGTGCAATCAATCGAGTTATTTTGAAGTTAATTTGCAGTTTGAATGTTCAAAACATGGTAATCATGGTGTGCACAGCAAGATCCCACAGCTGCAATGGGCTAAATGACCAAGTAATCTCTTTAAATTATGCTGGTTTAGGGATGATTTTGGAACATCTCTGCTCTTGGAAAATTTGTGTCTTGGGATTTTTAAAAGTCCTCCTGAAAAGGCTTCACTTAACACACTCATTTGAAAGACCATATTTTCCATAGTGCAGTGCTCATATTTCAACAGGTCTGGAGTCCCATATAGGCCAGCATAGGTAAGGATGACAGATTTCATTCCTTGCAGAGCATTATTGAACCAGAGGGGTCTTTTATCATTAATAGTTCCACAATCACCATTAGTGAGACCAAAGCTTTCACATCCAGATTTCATTAATTGAATTTGAATTCCATCAGATGCCACAGTGAGAATTGAACCATGTTCCAGAGCATTAGCCTTGGGTTAATAATCCAATGGCAGTAACACTCTGCCACCATCTGCCTTGAATTGGGTTGTAGTGAGACTCGATGCTTTAGATTTGGCTCTGGCCTGTTATTACACAATAACAATTAGGCCACTGCTCATCAGCTTGGGTGATAAAGCAAATAGACTGGAATTCTTTTCACCCTTCATAACCAACAAGCTTATTTGAGATTTAGCTGCATTTTTACCACAGTCGTAAATGTCAATGATTGGGCTGTACAGGAATGTGGAGTTGAGATTAAAATTGCAGGTTGTTTTACTATAACACAAATAGTTGCATTCTTGTGCGACCTCAAGCTATAGAAAGTTGCGCTATAGAAAATTGTGTTATAGGGAAATTGCTATACCTGTACAGTAGAAAGTTTTCATTATCCAAATAGCATCCAGTATTCATCAGTCGCGTTACAGCCGATTCTCGTTAATGGAGCACACGTTATAGCAGAAATAGCTGTAGATCGGTTGCGATCCTATTGAATGGTCGAGTAGGCATGAAGGGCTGAGTGGCCTACTCCTACTCCTTGTTTGTCTGAGGTATTTTAGTTGATGAATGGGTTAATGTATCTCATCATCTATTTAAGAATGATGATTGACAGAAATGAAAGATGGGTGTAGCCCTAGCTGTCTTACTGTTGTGGTTCTAGAATATTTCTGAAGAGAACAATGAATTTGGGCAGGGCTGTGTGAAAATGCTGTTAAGGCAAATAGCCTGGGAGTGTTGAATATTGTTTCCCAGTTCCAGCAGCAAAGAGATTAAATTATTGTTTGAAAACAGCTAATAATAAAAGGTATGGAGAGTGAGCTGGAGAATGGTAGTAGATTAAATGATTTGATGTAACGGATGATGGGATAGATAACTTGATTCTCTGCCATGACATTCTGTGATTTAATGATTTATTTTTTTGGCCGCCAAATCACATGCAACACTCCCACTTCTGATGCAGCTCAACT